TCGATTGAGTCAATTGAATCTTGATTACTAACAACATCGATTCCACCCTTACGAATCTGATCGAACGATGGAAGTAAGTCAGCTACACTTTTTGTTATTGGTGAATCTATCCATATTCTTTCCATACAATAGTCTTCTATGATTGTGTCTAATTGTTCACAACGATCTACATTGGGCAAATCAGCAGCTGCATTTAATTTATCAAAAATAGACTTCTCTAATGTCCATCGACCAGATTGTACACCTTGAACTTGTTGAGCTACATAACCTTCAAAAATGAACATCGGTTCGTTGACTGTCGTGTCATCGCTGGGTAAAACCCATAAGTCACAAGTATATGTTCGCTCTTGACTTAAGCCACATACGACATCGTGGTATCTTCCATGCATTTCAAAATTTGGATGGGATGTATTCACTTGGTTCATAGTAACAAATTTATGAATACTAACTGGAAGAACTGTAAGATCAACACCAGGTAACAAAACCAGAGGTGACTGCAAAAAACTATCCAATAAACTTGGATGAAGCAAATGATAAGAAGAGAGATCAGTAATTGCATCAATATTACTATGAATTTGAGCAATAACTGTAGATGTCGTACCACATAATGATTGTATGTTTCGAAAAGAAGGTCCATATTGATAGCCTCGTGTTGACAAATGAGTATAAATACTGGTTACATCACTCGTGGACCAGGTATTGTAAGCTGGACTGGTAGAAAGTAGGGTTGTTAATTTTTGTTGAACACCATCCATCTCAATATGACCATGAGCATGTAGAGTGAATTCACGTAATGAATATTGATTAAGAGTTTCTGGATCGATAAAGAAATCGACCACATCAACACTTGCCATGCCTGATGAACGCATACAATCTGAACCAGCTGATGTCCATCGTCGACTGTAGACAAACCATTGACGAACTGATATCACAATTTGTGTGAATAATTCTGTTAGCTCATGCTCATTAAGACTGAGAGCTTTGACAAATTTAATTTGTTTCAAAACAAGTGAAGATTGTTTGTTATCTAATGCTTGGAATAATTGGTGATAGGCAGCTGTTACAAGTTCAAGATAAGCAACAGCAGGAAAGAGGATTGTATCTTGTATTTTGTGATCTTTCAAGTAGGCATATTGTGGTAGATTAATATTAATGAGACTCTTCCATGTAGCACTTGTTTGTCCTGTTAATTGACGGACACCCAATAGAGGATGAATAGGAATACGATTAGCCAGACGTGTAATAACTGAATCTTTTGATTCATACCAACATGGACTAAGATCAAATGCATACAATGGAAAATCATCAAATAGTTGTTCATTATCTATCATCGGTAATATATCTCGAGTTTGAAAATATTGTTGCCAAACATAGGACGATGTCGTTAGTTGTGCGAGACTAGTAAGCAATGTTATTTGTTCATTTTCTTTTCGTTTCAGTGTTGGAAGAATCAGTGGTTGACTATTTGTCGACTGATAACACTCTCCAATAGATGTAGCCAAGACTGGATGTGGCGAAAGTTCAAGAAAAACAGTTGGGGCATCATGCTGTTGAATTGATGCCACAGCATCACGAAATCGAACACATTGTCTCACATTGGACCACCAATAATGAGCATCGACTGGTATCTGATCACTTAATTTATTACCAGTCACACTCGAATAAAGATTAGCTTCGGCGCATTTTAGATTGAACACTTGTTCAGAGTTTTTTAGAGGAAGTCCTTGGATATCACTAAGTGACGATAACATCTCTTTTTCTATGTCGAATCGATCCATCTGATACGAATGAAATGCATTTTCAATACGAAGACGAGCTTTGAAAACATTGGGATAAAATGTTGAGAGAGTTTGTTGTAGTTCATCGATAATCTTTTCATCTCCACTCAACGTGACGGAGCGAGGACTGTTAACAACAGCAATGCAAACAAGATGTTCAATACCTTTGAGAAGTTTATTTTGTACTTCTTCTTCACTCATGGATACGGCTAACATACGACCACCTTGTCGTGTATTACGATTTTGAAGACGTGATCGATGATAAACAATACGAACAGCTTCTTGCAAAGTGAGGCGACCGGCAACAAAAGCAGCTGCTTGATCACCAGCACTATGTGATACGATTGTCGAAGGATAAATATTCCATGAGACAAGTAAAGCAGCGAGTCCAACTTGGATAGCGAATAAAGCTGGTTGAGCAATATTTGTATCATTAATACGAGATTCTTGTTCACTTGTTTTGCCAATTAATTCTTCCAACAGACACCATTCACCATTGTTGATCTTTGCCATTTCCGCATCGATCAATTGAATCCATCGAGTAAAAACAGGTTCACTTTCATACAATTGTCGACCCATAGCCCACCATTGAGGACCTTGTCCGCTAAAAACAAAACATATTTTTGCTAGTGATATTACTGGACGCGTGGATGTAGAGAGACCGGGTAATGACTCTTCAACAAGAAAGGCGCTGATTTGTTGTTGAAGTTGTTTGATATTGGCAAATACAAAGATGGCTAAGTGTGCATGACTAATAGTACGCTTTAGAAGGAGTTGTTGAGATATGCGTTGGAGAAATGAATGATTACTTCCCACATCTGTTACTGATGTCTTTTGTAACCATTCATTAAATTGAGATACTTGATGGTTTAGAGATTTACGACTTTTTGCTGAAAGAAAAAACGTTAGTATACTATTTGATCAGACAATTTATGTTTATGAAACTCACTTGAGAAAATAAAAATGAAATATTGTTTACTCTCCATATCATTTCTCTGAAATTGATCATTTTCAAATCTGTTTATTACTGAAATGGCACACGTTCGATATTCTTCAACAATAGCGTGTACATTGTTGCCTCCAGCGCCAAATGAACTAATTCCCATAGCTATGGAATCAATGTCATTGCCTAAAGGAAATGGCACAGAATGTTGAACGACGTGTAGGTTATATCTTTGTGCTTCAATATTTGGATTTAATGATGTGAAGTGCATATTTGGTGGAATACTCCGATGATGCATACACATAGCAATTTTAATTAATCCGGCAATACCAGCTGCTCCTTCTGTGTGTCCTAAATTACTTTTAACAGAACCGATCAGTAATGGAGGATCAAAATAAGATCGATTGAAAAATTGACCTAAACAATTAGCTTCGATGGGATCACCTATGAGTGTACCAGTGCCGTGCGCTTCGACATAAAAAATATGTCGAGGATCAAAGTCTGCTCGCTTGTAAATATCATTGAGTAAACGTGCCTGACCAGCAGTTGATGGAACAGCAATACTGTTCTTATCTTCATTTCCATCATGGTTACTAAGTGCATCACGAATAACACAATATATGCGATCATTATCACGTTCGGCATCACTCAATCGTTTCAATAGTAGAAGACCGAGGCCCTCACCTAAACATACGATCCAAACGTGTTAATAAATGTACATAAATGTGCTGTTTACCTTTTGCATAACCATTTGCATCGACACTAAATGATCGACTTCGTCCTTCAGGTGACATAGCGCCCGCAATCGAACCCCATAAAAGAGTCTCCGGTGAATAGACAGCATTCACTCCACCACATATAGCCATATCTGCTTCGTTTGTGCGAAGACTTTGCACAGCTAAATGTACAGCCTCCAGCGACGATGAACAGGCGACATCCAATGATACGTTGGGACTTTGTAAATTAAAATGATAGGATAACCGAGCAGCAGCATTGTAAAGCAAACTATTAGGACCATGAAATCTTGATCGATGTTCAGGCTCCATGCGGAATGAAGTTATAGCATGATCTGTGGAGAATTGACCAATATACACAGATGTTTTTGAGCCATTCATTTTCTCCATACTATAACCAACATCGTCAAGTAGATGAATAGCCTTCAGCATGAGTAGTCGATGACATGGATCAATACTACCTGCTTCGGCGTCGGACAGACCAAAGAAACTTGGTTCAAACATATCCCATTGATTATTTGATAGGAAATATCCTCGACGAATAAGTTTCTGTCGAAAATGTCCATCATTATCCTTATTAAACATATGAGCACAATAAGACTCGAGATCGAGTCGATCACGTGGAATTACACTACCCACATCTCGACTATCCTTCAGTGAATGCCATAAATCGTTGGCAGAATGAATATCACCGGCAAATTCACAGGCTATGCCTACAATAGCCACTGGTTCTAATCGATTGTTTGAAGTTGACATCGGAATTTACCAAATATGAATTAAAGGGTAAATACGAGAAATAAATGAGAAATCTAAAAGTATATAAACCTGAAATACACAAATGTCAAACAAAATAATATATTTTAAATATAACATTGAAATAAAAACAAGATAGATTTGTTTATTGACCACAAGACTTTTTGAGCATTCTTACCCAATCGACTATTATTGATCTAGAAAAAAGAATTGAATTTTTTATATTATTCTAGTAGTAATTGTTTTGTGTTAGAATGATTCTTTTTATTATCTTTTCACATATTTCAAATCAAGAAACCCATTTCAAACACCATTAGATTTAAGCTTAAAGAAGATATGAGGATGTGGATGTGGGTGTGATGTAGAGAGACGATCGGTAACCACATTCACACCCTCAAGCAACTGTTCTCTATTTATTAAAAAAGTCGAATATATACCTGACAGAGAACAATAATAATAAGATCTTGTTTAAAATCTTTAATTGATGATAAATTTAAAATAGATGGTTAACGTTCTTTTACTAAGTGAATATTATAATGAATTAATGAAATATTTAATTTTTGAAAAATATTTTCTGATTTATCATGCCATTATGTATTTAATTGTTCTGTAAAAAGATAGAATTGATATTGAAGAGTTTTTTGTTTTGATGGATAATCATTAAAATAAAAATTTATTTTTAAATGTTTTAATAAAAACAATTGAAGACTAAACTGACTTGAATTTTATGGAATTTTAGATTGATATTCATTTAATTTAATTCTATTTTTTGATGATATTTGTTGAAATAATTCATCTAATAATTTCATATTGTATACAATGAGTAGATGAAGAAAATAAAGTTTGAGTATTATTCATTGATGCCATAAGAATCTTTTCATTAGGTAATATTCTTGATGATTCATGAATCGACTGATAAGTTTGATCTAGTAAATTTGATGTGAAAAGTTGTTGAAGTACAGTTTGAAATCGTTGTCCAATTTTATATATTGTTGATGGATTGAATAAATCAAGAGATGCCTCGATTGAACATGACCAATGATCAGTTATTGTATCATATATAATATTTATAGAAAAATCAAATTTACTTGCAGTTTCATATGTACTTATTTGAATTGAATAAGGCATAGTATAAATAGGAACACCACCTACTGTCACTTCATCATGATTATGTTCAGTTGGAAAAGAAACAAATCCAAAGAATACATCAAGAAATGTAGGACGAGAAACATGTGGATGTTGAGCAAGAATACGTTGAAGAGGAAAATAAGAATGTTCGAATGTTTGTGTTGCTCTTGTATCTACATGTTGTACAAATTCATCAAATGAATGATTAGAATTAATTTGACATCGCATTGGAAGTGCATTAACAAACATTCCGATAATTGACATTAATTCAGGTTTCGAACGATCATGATTATTCATAAGAATACATATATCATTTTCATTATTGGCTAATTTAAATAAGAATGTATAATAAGAAGCAAGTACTAAATATTCAAGTTTAATATTATATGTTGATGCATAAGTTAGAAATGCTTTTGTAAAATCGTTATCAAATTGAAATGAAATTGAAGTTCCACGACCTGTACGATGTTCGTCAGAAACACGATGTCGATCAAATGGTAATTGTAAAGGTCGATCTATTTTACAATCACGAAGAGCATCCAGCCAAAAAGCATTGGCAGCTGTCATCGGCATTTGTTGTTCAGTCACAGCATCTTAAATAAAATGAAAAGTATATTAGTATAAAATATAAAAACAACAAACAAAATAAGTTAATATACAATCAAGATCTTGACGAAACATTTTCATTGATGGAAAATCAGATAGAGCATGATGAAAATTAAAGATTAGTACATCTTTTTCAAAAATGATTCCTTTTTGAGAAATGTTTTTATAATAAACAACATGACATCGACAAACAACATCAGTTAATAGATTAAAATTATTTGGATTACCACGTTCATTATGCATAATTTTATTGAGATCTTCATCTGTTTCGAAAGTACTTTCAATAAATGTAAATAATTCTTTATTATCAGTATGATCAATAATCTTTTGCATTAATATATTTTTATTTGTATCGAAATAGAGTGATGTACGAAGAGCAGAATGTTTTATAAGAACATGTTGTAAAGCTTGACGAAGTTTAGATATTGATAGAGTACCACCTGATGAAAGTCGATGAAGAAAAGGCATATTATATATGGCAACTTGTGAATTTTGTGAATTAAAACGAATTCGTTCATCAAGCCAAATACGTGCTTGAGCATATGATGCTGGTGCTATATAATAATAAGAGCAATAAAAAGATGAATATACTTAATTTTGATGGGAATCGATAAGGATGTAGGTGTGAATCCTGTACATGTATATTTCTATCGTCTAATTATTTTCTCAAATACATGATAGATATATAGATATATCTTCATTCATAATATGTGGTTGTCGACAAAAAAACTATTCGTTCCATTTCATAAACTTCTTCAGGTAAAATAAGACTAAGTTTAGTAATAGGTACAACAAGAATATCAGTTTGATTAATATTAGAATCCATTGAAAATAGTTGTTCAATAAGATATTGAAATCGTCGAGCAATTTTTGTAACTGTCATATCTTCGAATAGATCATGTGAACAAACAAAACGACATGATAACATCTCATCATTTAACATTGGATTATAAATAAATGTTAATGCAAAATCAAATTTAGCAATTTCAATGGATTGTTTTAATTCAATTGGTTTTAAATCGAAATCATCGAAAGATAATTGATCAATATCAGGAGATCGAGTAATAAAATCAAATACTGTTTGAGGAAAAGAAACATTAGATTGATGAGCATTAATATCAGTTAGAATATTTTGTAGTGGATAATGAGAATGTTCAAGAATTGATATACATTTTTCTTGTACACATTTAACAAGTTCATCAAACGACAAATGAGAATTAATCTTCATACGACATGGAAGTGCTGAGACGAACATTCCCATCATATTTTGTAATTGACTTCTGTATCGATTAGCATTAAGAAAAGAAATGCATAAATCATTTTCGCCATGCGTTAATTTGAAAAGAAAAGCATATAATATACTCAGACCTAATTGAAATGGAGTAGTTTGATGTGTAGAAACATAATTAAGAAATGATTTCGAAATATTTTTATCAAAAGAAATCTGAGCAATTGAAGCAAAACCAGATCGTTGATCGTTAGATAAACAATGTAGATCAATCGATAATGATAATCGATGTTCAAAATCAAAGTCTTTCAATTCTAGAAGCCAAAAATCACGTGATGGTGTCATATCAATTAAACGTTCATGAACAGAATAATCAATATATTGTAATAAGTCCTCATCAATTGTCCATTTTACATTTGTATTATAAGCAAAGCAAAGATCATTTAGAAAAAGTTGATAAGCTGATCGATCTGTTGCAGCATGATGAAATGCTATAAGAAGAATATCAGAATCTGTAATGAATCTATTATCATTATTAGATATGAGTTCTTGTCGAAGTACTTCACAATGAAAAACACGACCAGTGGATAAATCAAATAAATTAGGATTAATAATTGTTTGATAGAGAATATCTTGAAGTTCATTTTCATTTTTAAATGTTTGATTGAGAACAAGTTGAAATATATGATGTTTATCACCAATATGTTGTTCAAGAATACCATTATCATTGTTGAAAGTAAGAAATGTATGTAATATTTTATGTTTATTTAAAATATATTCAATAGCTTCTAACAGACGACCTATTGATATTGAACCTTGAATAATTTCTAAAGCAATCAATTCATTGTAGATAGCAGTTTTATTAGAAAAACGCATTTCTTCATCAAGAAAAATACGTTCTTGAGCAAAAGATGCAATACCTAAAGATTTTCATTATTAATGAGAAAAAGAAAACAATATTTTAGTTTATTTTGTGAATATTAACATTTCAAATTCTTATTACCTTGTTTGATATGTAGTGTATGCCAACGTACTGATTTCATCTGATTGATTGTAATAGATCGAAGTAATTGTGAATGTTGAAGAATAGTTGGTTGTTGAAGAAATAAAGCAATAGAAAGTACACGATTATCAAAATCATATAATTGTTGATATCGATGATAAAGTTCAATAAATAGAAGTGAATGACCACCAATACTAAAGAAATTTGCGGTTGTTGAAATGTGTTGTCCGAAACATCGAAGAATTTCACATCAAATATCATGTATCTGTTTTTCTAATTGATTTTGTGGAAGATTAAATCTGTTGTCTAATGCTGTTGTTAATGATGATGATGTTGATGAGAGAGTCAATAATGATAAATCTAGTGGAGGAAGACGTTTTCGATCTACTTTTGCATTTGGACTCAAAGGTAGTTTTTCAAGTATAACAAACATTGATGGAATTATATGTGATGGTAGATTAGATTGACAATGATGACGTAATTGTTCAACATTAATGTTATCACTTTGAACATAAGCAACAAGATGATTTTCATCCCATTTGATAACAACACATGTAGTAATTGATGTTAAAATAAGTAAACACTGTACAATTTCTTGTAATTCAATACGTTGTCCACGTAATTTCACTTGAAAATCTCTCCGACCAACATAATGAATCAATCCATTGCTATCCATTTGAACAAGATCACCTGTTTTATAAAATATTTGCTCATTAATATTAATCATTACTTGAGCTGTTAAATCATCACGACCGCGATATCCAGCAAAAACACCAACACCTCCAACAACTAATTCTCCTTCTTGTCCAATACCAACAGTTTGTAAGAACATATCTAATATTAAAAGCTGATAATTGGGAAGAGATTGACCTATTGGAATATCTGTTTGATCTTTATTTAGATCAATTAGATGATTGGTACAATTAATAGTAAGTTCAGCTGGACCATAATGATTTCGAATTCGACATTCACTTCTCACTTGACTTCTCAATAGATTAACTAGTTTATTGTTGAGAACTTCACCTGTGATAGAATAAGTCAAAAAGAATATGATAATAATATAACAATTAGTAACCACCACTACATACAGTTCGTAACCATTGTACTGACGATTTTCGATTAGTAGTATTGAGAAAATTAAATAGACTTTTCTATAAAGATGGAACAGTATGCATAACAGTAATCTGTTTTTCATTCAATACTCTTGCAAGATAACCAAAATCCATGTGACCTTCTGGTCGAAGCATTATTAATGTAGCTTCAGTAATTAATGTACCAACAAGACTTAATAAGTGATTATCAAAAGAATATCGAGCCATCTGTATTATTGTACAGTTTTTGTTAATATATTAACATAAACAAATGAGCGTAAAAATTGAGTAAAATTTCGATAACGCAGTTGAATCTAATAAAACATGAATACATTAAAAAAAGAAATAGTCACAAAAAAAAGATATTATACAAACCGCTTTCGGAATACTAGTTGATCTACTAGTAAAAATTACAAAGAGAATATTTTCTGATGTTATTGGTACATCTGACATTTGAGTCAGATGAATACTAGTAGAATTTTCTTCATTATTTATAATTGTATCAATATTTAAAGTTATAATATCGATTTCAAAAAGAATGCGTGTAGATGAATGCACAAGAACTGAATGACTTCGAGTTTCTTTCACAAGAATTTGTAGACGTTGTGAAGGATCTTGTGATGATAAAGGACAATAGGCACCACCAGCCATAATAATTGATAGAATGCCAATGACCTAAAGAGAAATAAAGGATATATTATATACATATTATTATAAACAATATTTTCTAAATTTATTTACCATAGATAAACTTCGCTCTACACATTGACAAATAATATCACCCGATTTCACATTGTATTTATTTAATAAGACGAGAGAAAGTTGTTGAACATAATAGAAAAGTTCTGTATATGTTAATGATTGTTCATCAAATTCAACAGCTATTTTTTGTGGATGTTGTGTTACTTGATAAATAAATTCATGATGCATACAAGTAGTAGAAGGAAACAATACTTGTGTATTATTCATTGACTGTATAAGTAATCTTTCAATTGGTAACATTATTGATATTTCATAGATTGATTTCTTTTTCATGGTATCATTAACAGATATAAACAGATTATATAATATTGAATGAAATTGTTGTGAAATCTTATTTATTGTCCCTTGATTGAATAAATCGAGTGATGCATTAATTATACATGAAAATTGATTTATGGTGAGATCATATTGAATAGTAATAATGAAATCAAACTTGTTCACATCTTCATCTTCATTCATTGCAATTGATAATGGAAAGCTACAAAGTTCACTATCACCAATCATTATTTTCTTTTCAATAGTCACAAAATCAAAAGACACATCAAGAAATGTAGGCTTTGAACAATCAGAATGTTGTGCAAGAATATGTTGAAGAAGAAAATATGAATATTTCATACAATTTGTTGCCATTTCTTGAACATATTCAACTAGTTGACGAAGTGAACCATCATGATCTAATTGATATCGTAATGGAATAAGATTTTCATATAATCCAATTATTGATTTGAATTCATCTTTATATCGAGTATGTGCAGTCATTCCAATACATATGTTTCTTTCTCCATTAGTTAATTTAAACAAGAATGTATAATGAACAGCAAGTGCTAGATATTGAGGTTCTATATTGTTTGTTAAGGTATAGTTAAGAAAACCATATGAAAGATCTTGACTAAAATCAAATGATATCAATGTTCCACGACCACTTTGATGTTCATTTGAGAGACGATGTCGATCATAAGGTAATGATTGATAGCGAACCTTGTTTGATTATCAATGGTGCCAAAATATTGTAAAAAAGCAGGTCTGTAGAATGAAAATAAAGTTGTTCACGAAGCCAAATTCGTTGTTGAACAAATGAAGCAACAGCTTCTGTTCGTCCTGAAGTTTTAAGTTGTGGTTCTTTGTGTGCATTTGTTCTTGCTGCTAGTCGATTACGTGAAAACATTGTATAATAAAGTAATAAATTAATAATATAAAATAAGAAGCGTAATAGAATCTATAAATTAAAAAGAAGATAAGAAAAACTAAATAGATATTTCAAAATATGAAATAACACTAGTATAATCACATCATATGAGAGTCATAGTATTATCACGAGTACAATAAACCAATATACAATCTTCTAATAATACTCCGAAATGAAACAAGAGAATTGATTGAGTATAGCTATGATATTATATTAGATAATAAAAAAAATATTAATATAATGTTGTTAGTAAGTTAACTAATTATTATAGATTTTTACAAAAAAAGATTTCTACAACAAATAACGTATTATGATAATACTATTATCATAAGTAAACGTAGAATAATACTCATATTATTTCCTATTAATCGTATTTATGAAGGATATCTTTGAAATAACAAGTTACTGTAAATTATTGTACATACAGTGATTATAAAACAGTGAAATAGTCTGACAACAGGATTCTTCTTATTAGGGGTGTTACTTTATTTTTATTTTACTTTATAATAGAATAAAGAAAATATTTTCAAGTGATCAGTAAGTAGATAAATAATTGATATAAAAAGAGGTAATATTGATCGCAGTTTTTTCTGATCACGAGTCACATTCTAATATGGAATAATGCTAGCAAATGAATGTGAAGCATAAGAGATTTATGGAAAAAACTTTTCTCCGGAATCTTTTTTTAATCTGTGTCCTTATAATATTTGGCGGCTTATCTAGAAAAGATAAAATTTTAGATTTTTAAGAAAAACAAATTTCTTTATTCTTTATTTTAACTTTATTTTTTGAAATAAAGCAACTTTTTCTTTATCTTTATAAAATAGAAATTTACTTTATTTCTTTATTTTTATTTTTAAAAATAAAGATTATCTTTATTCTTTATAAAATAAAGTAAATATAAAGTAACACCCCTACTTCTTATCTTACTCTAGTGCAAAGATTAATGAATTTCTAACGATTCATATCCATATAATCTTGAAGTAGGTACGAAAATACCTTACCATTTTTCAATTTCTATGCTACTAAAGAGACTTTATTTTTTTTTGTATCGAAAAAAACACTTTTATAATTAATGTGAAAATAATTTTTAGTATGCTTTCTCTACTTGAACAATCAATAATTCTGTTATAAAGAGTCCGTTTCAAAGGAACTAACGTAAGTCTATTTTTATAAAATATTAAGTTACTTTAAAAATTCAAATTCCGAAATCAAAAGAATTACTATAGAATATTTCACGAAAAACCTTAGTATTGCAGTTTCATTTGTAAATCTTAGTAAAAATTTATATTATAAAATCATGTCCAACTAAGGTTTTTTGTCAAAATTCTATACAAAAACTTAATGGTTTCGAATTGTAATTTATCAAAATAGTTTTAATTGAAAGATTCCTATAGCAGATCAAAGCTTCTGTTTTTTAAGATCGCTTTCTTTCAACAAGAGTTGCTAATCGCTCAGAGAAATCTACTTTTTGTAAGAAATTTTGACAATATATGTTTGCAAGACTCTTGTCTACGAGAAAGAGAATATTGAATTTTTTCTTCTATCACTCTATATATTGAGAAAATGTTCTTTATTAACCCTTTCGGGACCAACTTTTTTTTTATCTTTTTAATGATCGGTGTATCATTTTATAACTATCTAACCTCAGGAAAAAAAAATTTTTTTTTGAAAAACCCACAGGATCGGTGGTACAAATATGTGCCACCGTCCCTGGGAGGACCCCAGCTTTTTCAAAAAACAAAATTTTTTTTTCTGAGGTTGCCATCAAGATAGATAGTTATAAAATGATACACCGATCATTAAAAAGATAAAAAAAGTTGGTCCCGAAAGGGTTAATAAAAAAATCGAATATATATCTGATAAAGAGCAATAATAATAAAATCACGTAGGTGAAGTTGGCTCCATATTCGACTACGTAGTTTAAATTTATTTCTACTAATAGTTTACACTAGTTGACGTTCTTGTCCTCTTCTTTCCAGGTTCTTGCTTTTCTTGCTTTTCAGATAAGCTTCTTGTGTTCAGGCAAGATTCTTTTTGACAGGAAAGTAAAAAAGAATCTCACAAGAATTTCCAGTAAACAAGAATCTTGTCTGAACAATCAGAAATAAAAGAATCAGGCAAGAATTATAAGATATTCAAGATATATTTAAAATTCAGACAAGAATCTTTTTCTTCCCTTTAAAAAGAATCTTGACTGAAGTTCAAGACAAAAAGAATCTGAAAAGAAACACAAGATATTTTAAGTTTCTTAATATTCAGACAAGATTCTTGTAATAGAAAAGAAAACAGATTCTTGCCAGCTTTCCAAGATGAACGGCACGTGATGTGATCTTTGTTTATCGTATATATAAAAGCATTAGCTGACCGTTATTTATTCATAATTATTATTGGCTCGATAAGTATAGTGCAAATTTACTTAGATTATTTTCTTTTTCTGAAGCGTTTATTTAATTCAAACGACATCTAGTAAGTTATTGTTTTAATTGGATGTATAGTAAAAGTTTATTTCATATCAAGAAAACAATGGAATATATGATATCCATTTTCTCATTGTTTACTGAAGGCAATCCTTATTGAACACATTTTGATATCTTTCTAATTCATATCTATATATTTTATTTTTTTTCTAGATTTTCACTATTGATAAAAGTATTACATATAATAGACGAAGAAAATATGGATTTATTTAAGAAACTATTGTTTGATAATTCTCTTCGTATAGGTAAAATTTTAAGAGAATAAATAATAAAAAAAATTTTTATTTTTTTTGTGTTAAAAATTAAAACTACTTTATGAATATGTGAAAATTAAAGTATTTTTTTGTACATGGTGTGAAATCCTTATAATAAAACGATATGAAAAAGGTAGTAATAACCTAAAAAAGGCTTTTTTTGATATGATTAGAATCAGGCAAGAAAGTAAGAGAACAAGAATCTGTCTGGAGAAGAATTTCTTGCCTCATCAGACAAGATTCGGTCTACACGAATCTCACAAAAAAGGCAAGAATCTTGCATGTAAAGAATAGAAAAAGAATTTTGCCTGAAAAGCAAGAAAAACAAGAATCTGGAAAGAAGAGGACAAGAACGTCGATTAGTGTAATATCATATAGAAAATGTTTTCCAATTCGATCATCTTAAAAGTTACTATTCAGAATTTTTAAATGAGAATAATTAAAGTATTTTATTCCAAAAATCTCCAAATATAAAAATGTCAAACAAAAAGCATTTGAGTCTCTCGAAATGTTTAAATAGTTATTTAAGAAATACGATAAAATTAAAATAATCAAATTCTTCTTTATCTTATTTTCTATTAATACCAACTTGAAATGAAATGTTTTCTTTATCAGAATAAACTTAACTCTATTCTTCGTTTCTCAAATATCACAATATAATTATTTTATTTTTCAGTCTTTAATCGTAATTGTAAGATAAGTTTAAGAGATGGTTTCCTACGTAAAAGTCGTTCTATTTAGATATTTGAAAATATTCTAAGAGACACGTTTTTTTCCACGTGGTTGCGTTTTGTTATTTTTTTCATGACGACAAAAAGATATTGCTAACGCTTACAATTATCGTTTTTTCTTGTTCTGTCAAACAACCATCTATAAGGCCACTCTTCCTTACGTTTATATTTTAATATTATCGCTGATTGCTCTTACTAAAAATCATATGTGGTCAAGAAAACCAATGAACCAAGACGGATAGATAAGTCATGAAAAGAAAAGAGAAAAATAATGTTTTTTTTATCGATTTTATTTATGGAAGAAAAATCAAGTCAATTTTTAAATACAATCAAAATCTTTGTTCATTTATTTTGCAATATAGAATCAATTATCTTAGATTTTTTAACTATTTGGATTTTGTAATGACTTGTCCAGTGACATTATTCTTCTTTATAATCAAAATCATCTGCAATTCAGCGATCTGTTACAAATGATCGGTAATGCTATAACTTAATTTGAGATTTTTTAACTTCGCAAAGAATAAAATAATAAGTGTGAGTTATTTATTGACTCAAAACTGATTTAATAAATGATTTAGTCAAGAAATCTTCGCCTTATATTCTAATAATTGTTAAGTTATCATGAAATAAAAAGAGATAATGATGCTTATTTATTTCAAATTTTTATTTTAAACACTACTAACTTACATTTGTTTTATCTAACTTCTATGATAATAGACGGGTATGATTAACGATAAGTGTAAATATGATGTATTTGAAAAGATCTATTCTAGTATCAAATCCATCTTTTTCGTTTCAACCACATCATTTATAAGATATCTTTTTTTCTTTCGAAATCAAATCAATATTGATTTTTATCTGCGCACATATATCGACCTTTTCATATTGTATAGAAATCAAAGATAAAAAATGATTATTTATTTTTAATATATACTTTAAGAAAATATTTCTAATTAATTGTTTGTTGATACATTATATTTACCGTCAATCCTTCAGCTCCTATTCTGTTAAATAACAAATAACTTCGACATATATTCATAAAAGACAATGAAAAAGTTATTCGAGTTTTCACTTAAATAAAATAAAATAAATAAAAAAATTATTAGTATTACACGAAATATTACGCAAGATTTTTTTAATTTCTAATTCTCTTAAAATATTACAGCTTGACTTGAAACATTATTCATTCTATTTAACTATTGTTCATATTATCACCATTAGAAAATAAATCCTATAAAAATCTCCGACGAGTTTCATCGTTACATCCTATGTCATGAAAACGTGTTCAATCATTGATTTTAGTAATCATTGATGAACTACAAACTAATTATTTAAGAATTTATAAATTGAAAAGTGAAATATAATTACAGATATTTAAAACAAAACAAAGATTAGTTGTTGTCATGTATATGACTACTATGGTATGAATGATATTAGATAATTTCAAAAATAATCATACTATAAGCGTCGTCATCACAATCGTTCGTTTTAAAACGATTTTTTGCGACTAGGCGTAGTTTATTTTAGATGATTCTATATTAATCTATAATTCTACTTCTCACTTATGTTTTTTCATTCTTTTCTCGAGATTTTTAATTGATGAGCGATGATAAATATGCACAGAAGCCTTTCACAAATAAACAAAAACAACTCATCGTTTTTAAGGAATTTTTTCCTCCCTATATCAAATTGCATATAGAGTTATTGTTTATCTATTTTATTACATAATTTCTATGCAGAAATTAATGTGAATATTTAATTTTATAATAAAAACATTGCTCAATTAATTAAACTAGTAATAAGACCTTCAAAATTTAACAGTAAAATAAAAGTTCACGTGTAAATAATCTCATAGTTCACCGCTAAAAATAAAGAAGAAAATCATTGACGATTAACTACTGATTTTGAGTACATAGGATAATTTTCTTACAACCAAGATCAGTTATAATTGACAAGAAAATTTCTTATTATACAGACAAGAATAAACATTAAGACAAAAAGTATCCAAAAAAATTCCACATTAAATGTATTGTGCACTAATTAACGTGATTTAATCTCAAATTTTTTTGATTTGGATTCTTAAAAAAATATCTCGTACGTTCGATAATTTGATAGTAGTAATCAGAAAAATTGAAACTTATTTTTCTTAAATATAATATTGTACAATATATTAACAATAAAATGAAACGTTTTTCATAAAACAATATAAGAATTTTTCAATTTATACGTAGATAGATTTAGATTGAAATTTCTAATTAGGAGTTGTTACATAAAAATGTTTTCTTATTATAAAATATCTATTCAGTTCATTTAACTTTCTTAGTATTATTAGTTTATGTTAAAAGAAAAGAATATAAATTGATTCTTTTTAATGAAAATCTTACTAAAAAAGTATGTAAATCTTTAAAAATCAATAAAAAAAAGAATTTTCGCTTGAAAACAATCGATTATACCGAATTTCTAGAATAATAAAATATTTCTATAGAGAAACATTCATTTTATGCATTATTCATTTTCATGTTCTTCATTTCTTCGACGATACTTAATTGTATTTCTCATACTTTTCTTCGTTGTCCACATAACGATATTTGGAACGAAATGTTTTTTTTTCTTCTGTTCTATATTAGTCATTATTTTTCTTATCCTTGATAAATCTATTAAGAAATAACTATATAAAAAGAACTAATAACTATTTTCATATTTCCAGTATAGTTATCAATCGGAATTATGTCTAAATGGAAATATCAAAGGAGAATAATCGAAAAAAATTTTCGTCTAAGATTTAATATTTTTACTGTGCTTTTCTTCTATTTGAAAATATTCTTCGAACTTTTATCAAATATATTGATCATTCTTATCATTGATTTATGCTCGTTCGATTTAGTTTTATATCGAAATATCGAAGAATTCGTGAGAAAATAACAATTTTCTTTTAATATCAATGTCAAATAGACAGTAAAGACAATATATATTCATCCTCAAGACAATTAACTATCCATATTATACCAACAATTGCTCATTATCTCTTATCGAATAAATCAAACACTAAAAATCTTCATATCAAGTTTGTGACATTAAAGTTCATGATGATAATGATAGATCAAATATTTCTATTGATACAATCAATCATTACATAAACCTTAGATTCAATTTCATCTATTTTCTTAAATAAACAAGAGAAATATAGAAAATATTTCGATAAATCAAGTAAACGAATACTATTCTATGTTTAAATAACGACGATCATTATTTCTAGCATTTACTTAAATGAATATTCGTTCAATTTATTTCTTTTATTCCTATCGAAATTATTAAAAGAGAAGACAAAAATGAATAAGAGAGAAACAAATACACATAGATGATACATATATTCTATTACTACGCAGTGGGCTCACATAAAAGAGTAGGTGAAGATGTAGCTCTAGATAGACATGCACCAAACTCAAATTCAAATCCAAGCGGGTTTGCAATTTAAGTTCAGATCTAGTAGTAAGATTAACGAAGTGTTTTTATTTCTAGTTTATATCTATATTCTTTTAGTTTATCTCTTTTCTATACTAGTTGATCACATATGACTATAACACAAAGAAGTATCGATCAGCGTTATTAGGATCGATGGTGGGTGTGGATATGAATGAAAAAGAAGAAGAGACATACATCCTCACCCACCCGCAAAATTATGAGAAAAGGCGAAAAATATGAACGAATATCTTTTTTTTTCTTTTCTTTCAAGTATGAATAAATATTTCGATGCGATCGAAACAGAACGAAAAGAAAGGAAAAGAAAAAAAAAGAAAAGAAAATATAAAATCTGATTACCTTCTAATAAATTATTCGATTGGTTTTTGTTGATATTCGGTGGTTGATCAGATGAAGTTATATGAATAACTGTTTTATCCATAACTTGACCACTATTACATCTTAATCATGCTTGTATTACTTGAGATGGTTCATAAGTAACTGTTGGTTCAACAGCATATAATTTATGTTGAACAAATAGATCAAATGTTTCTTTAAGTATAATATGAATAAGAGATGATATATGATCAACAAAATCCAGCGAAATCAGTCTACCATATCTGATGGTAATAGTTCTTCTTCACTATCTTCTTCGATCCATGTTAATTCAGAAAGAAAACAAGATCGTGGTACACAAATACAAAATGGTTTTTGATCTGCATCTCGTTTAGGAATAATAGATATTTGTTCTAATTTAGATTTCTTTTGTTCATCATTATTTTGTAACATTTCATAATGCCATGTTAAATGTTGAACTTCATTTTCATTTGTATGATTAAGACGAAGAACAACTTGGCAAGTATTAGTTGAATATCTTGAATTAATCATATATTCTATTAAAATATGAATAAATATTAATTTATTATCTAATGATGTTCGAAGATCAATAAGTTTTAATCGATTTCGTTCATATTCAGTTATTAAACTTCGTGCAAGACCAATAAATGGTGATGCAATTATATTAAGATTCGAATCATTATTGAATTGAGCATGATCTGTAAGAACATATACAAATGGATAAAAATATGGTGATGATTTTTGAAATGTTTGAAGAATACATGATAATGTTTCACATATAAGTTCTTCATTTTGTTTCAATGCTAAATCGTCATCATTATTTTCATTAAGTAATTTTTGATCAAGTTGCCATGCAAAAATAATAGATACTTGTTTATAAGTAGTTAATAAAACTGATATTCCAAAACAAATAGTATCGAAAGTTGAATGACGAATATCAAAAATTCTAATATTTGAACATGGTAACAATGATGATAGAATATGACCAAAACTATTATTATCATCTTTAGTAAATATTAACCATAACTGATTTTTTCTTTCATCAAGTCTTTGTAATATATCATTCGATGTTGTTTTTTGACTAATAATTAATGTGCTTTCATTTTGATTTGTTGTTGATTCAATAATATGAAATCCTTCGATTTGTTCTAATAATATCACCCATTGTTGAATATTTTTTAATGCACAATTATCATCATCAGATGATGACCACCATTGATCAAAGAAACAAAAAATAAGATCAAAATAAAGAGGAACATGAACTAATTCAAGTAATAAAAGAAGACCATTAGGAACAAGTAAACGACGAAGAGCAATTAAAGAATTTGTTAAATCTTGATTTCCTTGAAGTTGATTGGAAGAAAATATAATATCAAATGATTCGAATGGTATTTTTTCAAGTGTTTTACTATCATATAAATCAATTGTTTCATCATAAATAATAGATAAATTTTTTATTTGATTAGTTAGATGTGTATTAAATGTTTGTTGAGCATTTGCAAGTTGTGTTGGATCAGAATCTGCATAATGTACATCAATCAATAAACCTGTTTGTTGTGATAAACTAAGAAAAAGATCAAGAATAGGTAAAACATCTGAACAATGACTATCAGTTAACCAAAATATACGTAATCGATAATTTTCAAATGAATTATCATCTTTCGTTTGTCGTTCATATTGTAATTGTAAATGTTGACAAATAGTATGAAAAATTTGTTGTGTTTTAGTTGCCCTGATAAGAGTTTTAATTTGTTGAAAACTTTGTCCAATTTCGTCATCACCAAAAAATATATCTAATCCACTTTTTTCTCCACTAAGAATATCTTTTAAATGTAAACCATATTTATTTAATATTATTAAAAATGGTTTTAAACGAGGAAAACGTTGAATTAATTGAATAAGACGAAGTTGTGTTGAATGCCATATTACTCCTTCATGTAAAGTTGAAGCAAGAGAACGACATGCATTTAATAATGGATGATATTGTTGATCCAAATCAAGATCTTTTATTGCCATTTGAGCATAATAAGTAGTTAATTCATTAAATGGTTCTATTGATTCAATTAAATCTTGATTACCAATAGAATTAAGTTGATTATTAAGAATAATTTTGGGTGATGGAAGTAAATGTGATATATCTTTTATTATTGGTGAATCAGTTCATATTCTTTTAGGATTGTATTTAAATATGTTTTATGATCAGTATTAGGTAAATCAGTTGTTAGATTTCATTTATCATAAATTGTTTTTTCCATTGACCATCGACCAGATTGTATACCTTGAACTTGTTGAATAACAGCACCTTCAAATGTAAATATTGGTTCTTCGATTTTATTATCCATTGGAAATATCCATAGATCAAGACTATATATTTCTTCTTGGTCTATACCCCATATATTATCATGATACTTTCCACATACTTCGATATTTGTTGATCGATTCGTTTTTATTTTTGTTTTACTTGAATAAATAGATTTTTGAATACGTACTGGAAGAAATGTTGTTTCAACACCTGGTAATAGAACTAGATATGGATGCAGTAAATAATAAGATGAACAATTATTATTATCATTTGATAATTGAGATATAATTGTAGTTGAAGTACCATGTAATGTTTTTATTTTTTTCTTGAAAACTAGATCCATATTGATAACCTCGTGTTGAAAGATGTATATAAGCACTTGGTATATGTTGTGTTGTCCATGTATCAGGTATTGTTAATGATTTTGTTGTTTAGAATCAATTTCAATTTTACTTTGAGCATGTAAAGTAAATTCATTTAATGAATGTTTATTAAAATTATCTTGATTACAAAACATAATATATTATTCACGCATTGGTATAATTATTTGTGTAAATACTTCTATTAATTCATGTTTCATTCAAAATAAGTGCTTTAACAAATTTAACATCTTCAAAAATACTTGTTGATTGTTGTTGATCATCTTCTTTTGATGATAGTAATTGTTGACAAGCAGCTGTTGCAAGTTCAAGATAAACAACTGCTGGAAAAAGAATTGCATCTTGAATTTTATGATCTTTTAAAAAAGAATATTGTGATAGATTAATATGAATAAGACTTTTTCATGTTGCACTTGTTTGTTCATTTAATTGACGAATACCCAGTAATGGATGAGTAGATATATGATTAGCTAGACGTTGTATAGATGAATCTTTTGATTCATACCAACATGGACTCAAATGAAATTTATATGATGGAAAATTATCAAAATATTCTTCATGATTTTTCACAGGTAAAATTTGACGAGTATGAAAATATTGTTGCCATACATGAGATGATGTTGTAAATAGTGCTAAACTAGTAAGTAATGTTATTTGTTCGTCTTCTTTTCGTTTTAATGTTGGAAGAATAAGTGGTAATGATTGTTGTTGTTGCTTTGTTAATTCATAACATTCGCGAATAGATGTACCTAAAACTGGATGTGGTGAAATTTCAAGAAAAACATTTGCTGCTTCATCCTTTATAATTGCTGCTATAGCATCATAAAATCTCATAGCTTGTCTCACATTTGACCACCAATATTGACCATTAACTGGTATATTATCATTCATTTGCTCACCAATAACACTTGAATAAAGTTTTGCTTTTGCACATATCGGATCAAAAATTTGTTTTTGATCTTGTATTGGAAGTCCTCGAATATCTTTCAATGATGAAAGCATTTCTTTTTCAGTATCAAATCGATTTATTTGATATGAATGAAATGCATTTTCAATACGAAGACGTGCTTTAAATACATTAGGATAAGATATGGAAGAATTTGTTGTATTTCATCAATAGTTTTTTCATCACCACTTATTGTTACTGAGCGAGGACTATTAACAACAGCAATACAAGCCAAATGTTCAATACCTTTCAGAAGTTTATTTTGTAATTCTTCTTCACTTATTCAAACAGCTAACATACGAACAGTTTCTCCTAAAGTTAATCGACCAGCAACAAAAGCAGCTGCTTGATCACCAGCACTATGTGATATTATAGATGATGGATAAATATTCCAAGAAACAAGTAAAGCTGCTAATGCAACTTGTATAGCAAATAATGGTGGTTGAGCAATATTTGTATCACTAATACGAGATTCTTGTTCATTTTTCTTTTCAATTAATTCTTCTAATAATCTCCATTCACCATTATTAATTTTCGTCATTTCTCCATCAAGTAAATTAATCCATTTATTAAATAAAGGTTCATTCTCATATAATTATCTACTTTGTCCACTGAAAACAAAGCATATTTTCTGTGCTAATGATTTTGTTGGACGTGATATGATTGAAAGGCCTGGTGATGCTTGTTCAGTAAGAAAAACATTAATTTGTTCTTGTGATTGTTGACGATTAAGAAGAACAAAGATTGCTGAATGTTGATAACTGATAGTTCTTTTAAGAAGAAGTTGTTGAGATATACGTTGAAGAAAAGCTTGATCATCATTATGATCTATATCATTAATTGATCGTTAAGATATTGACGACTTTTTGCTGAATAAGAGAAATAAATTATTTAATGAATGAAAAGAAAAAAGGACTTACTTGAAAAAATAAAAATAAAATATTGTTTGCTTTTAATATGATTTCCATCATCGATATGACCATTTTCAATTGATGTTTTATTTATTGGTTGATATTCTTCGATGATAGAATGTGTCGTTGAACCAACCGTTTCGAATGAATTAATACCAATAGCTATTTTTTCATTATTTGGAAGAGTTGGAAATGGTGCAAAAGTTTGAAGAATATGTAGATTATATTTTTGTGCATCTGTTTTTGGATTAAGTGAAGTAAATTGCATATTTGTTGTATTACCACGATGATACATACACATAGCAACTTTAATAAGTGATATAACACCAGCTGCACCTTCTGTATGTCCTAAATTACTCTTAATTAAATCTAATAATAATGGTGGATCAAGATTTGATCGATTAAAGAATCGATCTAAACAATTAGCTTCAATTGGATCGCCATCACGTTCAGCATCACTTAATTGTTTTAATAATAAAAGACCAAGACCATCGTCTAAACACAATATTTAAATTGAAATGTATTTCTAAATAAAAAAAACCAATCAACTGAATTTACCTTTAGCATAACTATTAGCATCAACACTAAATGATCGACTTCTTCCACCAGGTGATTGTGCACCAATAAATGAATGTTGTAGAAAACTTTCTGGTGTAAGAATTCATTAACACCACTACATACAGCCAAATCAGCTTCATTTGTACGGAGACATTGCACAGCCATATGTAAAATTTCTCAAGAAGATGAACAAGCAGCATCTGATGATACATTTGGATCATGTAAATTAAAATGATATAATAAACTATTTGGTCCATAAAATCTTGATTCGATGTTCAGGTCTCATACGAGCTGCTGCAATTGCATGATCTGTTGAAAATTATCCAGTATGCACTGATGTTTTTGTACCTGACATTTTTCCAACACTATATTCAGCACCATCAAGTAAATCAACAAATTTTAATATAAGTGATCTATGACATGGATCAATATTGGCTGGTTCAGCATCTGACAAAACCAAAAGAAATTGGTTTAGATTTATCTCATTGTTGATTTGACATAAAATAACCAGCAGGAAGAAGTTTTTGATGAAGTTGTCCATTGTTATCCATATTAAGCATATGAGGAGTAAATGATTTAAGATCAAATCGATCAATTGTTGTTGCGCTACCAACATCTTGACTTTCTTTTAATGTATACGATAAATCATTTGCAGAATGAATATCACCTGCGAATTCACATGCTATACCTATAACAGCTATTGGTTGTAGAAGGGTGTTGGAGGATGTCATTTAAACTTGTTAAAGATGGTTTAATTGCCAATGCAGAAATCAAAGCAAACTGTTAAGTTTTTTTTAACTAAAATGAAAAATTTGAGGAACACATTATATTAGGAACATGACATCAAAGAGGAAGATATTTAGCTATTTCGATTCAACAACTAAAAACACATCAATATTGTTCTAGACTTTTTTGGTTCCCTTGTAGACCATCTTTCATGGTGGGTGTGGGTAAGGAGTTCGCAGGTGTTGTACTTATCTCTAAAGTACGTCTATCTCATTCACTTCACCCACCCTCAAACTATAAAATACTTTAAAAATAAGAAAACAAACTTGAGAAAGATTTTGTCTTTTTTTAAATTTGCTTTTCTTTTTCTTCTTGTTCAATTGCATTTGTTTTAGCTGATTTTGAGTCTGTTGTAGTTATTTCTAATATATCTGTTTCATCAAGTAATTCATATTTTTCTACATAATTCTTAAATATCAATAATATATACTAATGTACCTTGATTATAAATAAAAAAAAACTTAAGTCTTTGGATGATTTTGGAATAAATATTGTTTTTTGAACTGTTTTTTTCTTTTTCTTCTAGCGGATTTTGCTAAAAAATAAAAATAAAAATATGGCATATCTAATTGAATTAAAATGTTTAACTTATTCTTTGTTTATAGAGATATTAAAATTAATAAATGTTTGCATAATAGTTGAATGCATATTATTAGATAAATCTCCAATATTTAAATCAAGTTTTTGATTATCACAACTGATCATAATAATGGTATCTATTTGTGATGAAAATAATACCTATGCTCTTAATTAAAGAAAAAACTTTACATAAATAAAATAAATTACTGAATAGGAAATTTTTCATTGTTTGAAATCTTGAAAATGAGTTCCATAAAAACTTCAATCTTTTATCGAAGAGGAAGTTTTTGTTTCACCATTCACATTAACCATATGTATTGAAAACACTAACTATTAAGTATATAAATATACGTATATTTATTTAAATTATTTTTACTAGATAATTTAACTTACATTAAATACAAAATAATCAGAACTAGTTTTATTTTGATCTTGAAGTAAAATAGTTTGAGAAAGACTGAAAATAAATTCAATTCTTATTTTCATGTCAGATGAAATAGAATATTTAGATGAATCTAATGGAAAATAAATAGATAAAATTATTAAAAATATCTTGAAATAAAAAATGTTTACCTTATTTTATTAGATTTGTTAAATTGAAGATTCGTGTTAAATATTGATGTATTTTATTGAACATTAGTGTTTGTTAATAAAACTCGAAATTGTTTTTTTTCAAACACCATGTAATAATAAATGTTAAATTTAATAATAAATTAAAATTCATTGGAATTAATTAAATTATTAAATAAAGAAAGTTAGAGTCTTCATCTTGAGTTATATAATTATTGTAAAGATCTATTTGAGAATGATAAAGTCTTCCGTCAATTTGTTTTCTTTGAAATTAAACCGAATTTTTCATAAATACTTGTATCTTCTTGTAAATTTTATTTTTTGAGAAATACATTTTGATGATTTTATATGTTTAATTTCAATCTGTTCTTCTTCTTCTTCTTGAGTATTATGAATTTTTGGAAGTTGGTAAAAAACATTTTCATTATAAATTTGATTAATAAAATGCATAATTATTAATTCCACTGGAATCATTTTGTGAATTTAAAGGACGATTAATCGATAGTGCAAATGATAAATATCCTAACAAAATTATTTTATTAATGAATTCATTTTTATTATTTTAAATAAAATGACTCCTCGAAAATCTATCAAATGTAATTCGATATTGTTTAATACACGAATAATTTCTATTATCATTTGAATCTGTATTCATTTGTAATTTTCCCATATCAATTAAAATATTTTTATTTGAATATGAATCCATTAGAATAAATATTCGTGGAGTATTTAATATAAAATCCATTTAACATTCAATTGAATGTTCATCATATTGTTATAAAATCGATGAAAGACAACTTGGTTCATTGCAAGATGTGTCTTTATCTTTTCGTTGTTATCGATTTGTTTGAAATAAATTAATTAATGATGGTGTAAGTTGAAAATATTTACAAAGAAAAAGGAAATTTTATTTTTGAATTTGACCTTGAATAAATGAATATTGTTCTTCAGTTTTCCTCTCATAATTAAATGAAGATAAATCAAATATAATTAAATTATTTGGTTTATTTTCTTCCAAAAAATAATATATTGATAACGACATTTTATATAAAAATCAATAAGATCGTGAGAGTGAGTGAATGAGTAGGATAGATATGATACACCCTTCTATTGAACCATTTGATTCAATTACTTCAAATAAGATATATAAAAATTCTTCTGTATAATACGTTAAATCTAATAATGCATATAATAAAACAAAAGATCAATCTAAAATAAATAATTTAATATAAAATTTTACTTTTAAAACAATAAAATTGAATTTAAGTTATGTTATTTGTTGTCTAGATCAGTTGTAATATCAATTTGTTTTTCAATATTTTGCTTTTCTTCTTGAAGAATTTTTTGAACAGCTATCATTTTTTTAATTGTATCATATTCTTCTTTTGCATTTGTTTAATGTTTTTAATCTTTTGATTTTGGTTTCTATCAGTTTACAAGAATAATATAAAAAAAAGAACGAACTTGATTTTGTTTTTGTTATTTTTAATCAAATATTTTTGGATATAGAATTGTTTTTATTAATTTTAATAAACCAAGTAAATGTGTATCGAACATTCGACATTCAATCGGTGAAATATTTCCATTTGTGCTTTTCAACTTAAAATAAATAAATAATAATAATAATTTCTTATTTTCTTTTCCACACTAAATACAAGGATCTCATAATATTCCGAAGAATCTGGATATATGCTCAATTTCATAATCATCTATAGGAAGAAAACTTCTTGGTTACTTTGAATATTATTATCTTACTTCTAAGTATTAAGCAGGATAAATGTGGGCTTTTTAGTTCTTCTTCAAACTTAAATACACGACTCCAGTCATATTATACAGTAATCGATATATTTGTCACCTAATTCTCCATTTTAGCAGCAAGCCCACGCTTTGATCAGGGTACGCCTTTATTTTGTCTTACAATACGAAAAAGGTAAATGCATATTTTTTTCGTCCATACTAGATGAACGATTCCCGTCATATTTTTAAATACTTGGATACATATCTTATTACGTCGACGTTTATATTATGCGTAGAAACAAACTTTTACTGTTGCTCAATACGTAATTAGATTAAAAATAAAGAAAATTGAGAGTGTGGGTAGACGTTGATGTACAACCTCCTCGCAACGTGACTCATCCTTGAATATGTCGATATCCTTATGAATTGTTTGTATTATCATGTTTTTTCTTTATTTCTGTCTATATTTTTAAGTCAATTCATGGATTTCGTACAAAATTATTTTATTGTGTATATATAACAAATGTACTAACATCACTATATGTTCTCCATCAATTTTTATAAACAAATATTTATTATATATTGAAAACATATTTATCGATTAATTTATTAACAACTTATTGGGACACCTAGACTATTCAATGTTGCAACTTCTAAAATCATTCTTTGGGGGTATTTTCAATATTTTTAATGCTAGTTGGTTTGTATCAGATTTATGTATGAAACTCATTATTTTTCAACTTATCTACAATAATAAACAGAATAATAAAATAATTCATATTATATATTTGATCTATTTTTTATTGATTAAATCTACTAGTATTCGTTGGTGATATGTATCGTCTCATTCGAAGAATCAACCAGTATCGTCACAAACTGTTCTCTTCTTCAACAAAATACATTTAAGCTTATTTTTATTTGAATATCATTTGGTTTGTTATTTTATTTTTGTGGAACGATCTATCATGTACATATTGAAAAATATCAACAGCTACTATTTACAGAAAGAAACTTTTTAATGCTAAAGTTAAATTTACACCAACTCGGATACTTATTTTAGAATCGATTATTGGTATTTATATTTACATATTTATTGCAAAATATATTAATAAGAATTGTATTTTACTTCTAAGTAGTAATGAAACATATCATATTATGTGTCTATATTTTATTCTAAATATTATAACAATTATAATGTTTGCCGATAGATAGTTTGGAGTTTTGGAAAGCCGATGCAAGGTATGAACACAATTCAGAAATGAATTGAACTCTTTTCATTAGTTGGAACACATTAACTTCAACTTTCTTCAACTATCTACATTTGTCAATTATTACAAAAAAGACTAAAGTAACTTCAAATGAATTGAAACTGTAAACTTACATGCCTTGCTCATCTTTTGTACATTACAATAGAAAATATATAATATGAAGAGTTTTTTCTAATCACAATTTCTATTCGATGTTATTTAACTAGAAGAAAATAATTTGAACTTATTTATTTTTGTGTTGTATGTTCTTTACACTATACTTTTTTATTGCTAATCTTCTATTTTTTACTTATTATATTCTTTTCATTAATTCAATTCTTATCTTAATAAAATCATAGTCAAATTTAACAGACTAATTGGTTTTTGATTTATAACACTTTAAATTTTCGTTAAAGTATTAGTTGAAATCATTATTGTTCACTGTATTTATAATTTTTGTTTACTTTTAATCTAAGCAACTGTAGATCTTTGTCACAAAGGTGATACTTTTGAAATAGTAGTCACTTTGAGACTAACTGAGAAACAAAAGTCTACATATACGTCAAATAATTCACATCACAAAATCAATATTTATGAATTGAATTTGAACTATTTTATTGTCATGTGTACTCATGTCAGATATTAGTATATTACTGTTCACGTATCGTGCCAGAATATTTTAACAATTATATCTGTATATTTCTGATTTTCAAGATGCTAATTACTCTATTTTCGAATTGTTGTTATATCATTATTCTGACATTATTGAGATATTCAGAAATGTATTATTACAGTATGATGATGTTTCTTCA